AAAAAGTTCTTCTAATAAGCTTATAAATAACCTTAATACCTTAAGACGTTTGTGAAATGGAACAATAACAAGATCTAACAAAACATCATAATTATTTCTCTTTGCGAATGTCATGATCTTCTGGATAACTTCTCGTTCTGCACATGGGAGTATCATTCCACAAGCTCAGATAAAACCTTCTAGCATAAACACAGAGCTGCAGCATTTATGATCATCTTCTTTCAAAAAGTGACGAGTAGTTTCCAATGATGTTCATTCTCTTAAAAGTGATTAGTTTTATTTAGTGCGGATTAGCCAGGTTTACTTTAATCATCGGATTATCTTACGAATTTTCTGTCGCCCTATTATTATTAAATCTTTAGACAAGCCAGAAAATTGCATGTGTAACTTTCAAACTTCTTCAAAATAGAGCTGCTTTTGTAGGTAAGTGGAAGCATAGTCATTACGATATCAAAATGCTGCAGGTGAATGTCGCACTCTTTAATACATGAGAATCCCTAATGTAGAAGTTGTGATGGTATACTGATTTAATTGGTAATAAAAATATTCTTACATTCTGCTACCTTGTGTCTATATCCCTAAACGCTGAAGCATTCTCTCATTGACAAAGAATTACAGGCCTCGCCCCAATGACGATTGGAAACTCACTAATTTTAGAATCTTACGATTCTCACAAAGATGATTCCTCGCTATTCAAAGAACTGTTTAGCTTCGGATTTGACAACGGATCTATGACCATTCCCGACCATCTTCAACGATGATCTATGTGAAAGGAAGATTATGATGATGTTCTCTCTAGCCCCTATCGCTAAAAATGGATTCGTGATAAACTTACGCCTCCTATGGATCATAATTAAGCGAAAAGCCATGTTGTTCAAGGATCTGCCTGCAAAAGAAATCGCGACTCAATTTTAAAACTGCGAGAATGCTGTTGAGCCCAACTCAAAGCATAGATTCTGTATTAGTTAATTATTGTCATAAGCCTTTACCTTGCAATTTGTTATGATTTTTGGGAGTAAAAAAATAAGAAGGTACGGAAGAA